TGCAAAGGCTACCTTTTCTCCATTGAATGGTATTTGCACCTTTGTCAAAAACCAGTTGGGCATATTTGTATGGGTCTATTTCTGGGTTCTGCTCCATTGACCTATATGGGTCTATCCTTCTGCCGTTACCTCACAATATGATTACTGACCTATATAATGTTTTTAAATCAGACTGATTCCTCTCTTAGTCATCATTTTCAAAATTATTTTAGCTATTCCAGTTCTGTTGCCTTTCTATATAGGTTTTAGAATAATGTTTACAAAAAATCTTGCTGGGATTTTGATAGAAAATTGGGTTAAACCTATATATCAATTTGGGAAGAATTTACATCTTTGCTATGTTGAGTTTTCCAATCCATGAACACAGTGTATTTCTATTTAAACCTTTGATTTCTTTCATCAGTATTTTATAGTTTCCAGCATACAAGGTCTGCACATTTTGTTACATTGACACCTGAGTGTGTGTTTGTGTGTGATTGTAAATGGTATTGTATTTTTAATTTTGGTTTCCACATGCTCATTCCTTATAGAATTGATCTTTGCATGTTTATCTTGTATCCTGCCAAATTGATAAACTCACTCCCCTTCCCCCACCTGAAATTTCTTCTTTGATTCTCTAGAAGTTTCATTTCTGAGTGTTTTTGGAGATTTTCCTGTTATCTTTCTGTTATTGGTTTCTAGTTTGATTATATTATGGTTGGAGAACACACTGTGTGATTTCAATTCTTTTAAATTTGTGAGGTTTAAGTCCCAGGATATGGGCAATAATCTTGGCATATGTTCTAAGGGTACTTGAAAAGACCTTTTCTGCTGTTAATGGGTGGAATGTTTTATAAATGTAGATTAGATCCTGTTGGATGGTGGTGGTGTAGTTTTACTATATCCTTTTAATTTGTTTGTTTGATAGGGGAAGGGGAACAGACAAGTTGCTGTCCTTTTGTTCTTCAGTCTAGTTGTGGAGGAGGTCGCTTCACTGGCCAATGTTGATATTATCATTGTGCTCTTCCCGGCTGAGGCAGTTGCTTGCCTGCCTTTGGACGGCAGTTCACGGCAGCCCATGAAAGCTCACACCAGCTGCCGGTCAGCCCCACTGCAGCCTACGCCGTTGCCAGCAACTCACGGCAGCCCAGCCCCAGGTGGAGCTGCTGTTCACCATCTTAGCTGTAGAGGGTGCAGTGTCACTGGCCCTCATGAGGGATCCAAACCCAGGCCATGCTGCTCAAGAGTTGGCATCCCAAGCCAACTCCTAACCAACGTGCCACTCGGCCGGCCCTCCTAATTTTGTAGTTGCTCTTTCTTTCAGTTCTTGAGAGGGAGATGTTGAAGTCTCCAATTATAATTGCAGATTTGCCTATTTCTCCTTTCAGATCAGTTTTTAACTCACAGCTTTTGCAGCTTTTTTGTTTTATGAATACAAATATATCTTCTTGGTGGGTTGACCATTTTATCATAATGGTCTGTCTCTGGTATTTTTCTTGGCTCTGGTAATTTTTATCTGTCTCTGGTGATTTTCTTGGCTCCAAAGTTTATCTGATATTAATCTAGTCTGTTAGCATAATACATATATTTCTATCCTACTTTCAACTTGTCTATATTATATTTGGAGTTTCTTGTAGGCAACATATAGTTGAGTCATGGTTTTGTTAGTGTTTTTTTTTCATTTACTCGCAATCTGTTTTATTTGGTCAATTAAACCATTTACATATAATGTTATTTATTATAACATAATCTTAAGTCTGTCTTTTTTTCTTTTTTCCTGTTCTCTGGTTTTTTGTCTTCCTTTTTCTGCATTTGTGTGGGATACTTGAACATATTTTAGAATTCTATTTTGATTTATGTATGTTTTTGAGTCTTTGTACAGCTTCTTTAGTTCTAGGTATTAATATATACATATGTATATATAAGGCACACATATACATTAATGTGTATGTACATTTATATGTATTATGTATATTACATATATGTTACTTATCCATTATATATGTGTTTATCTTTTCAGTGTATTGGTGTCATCATTTTACCAATTCAAGTGACTTTGAATCATCTTTCTTTATTCTTCCCTCCTTTACAACATGATTTTCTTTCCAAAGTATTTTCTCTACATAGATCTAGAACCACATCAGACAATGTTGTAACTTTTGCTTCAACCATATTTTAGAATACTGAAGAAAAGGAAAGCCTCTTTACCTATATTCTGCTTACCATGTTTTTTCTTCCTTCACGATTGTCCAAGATTGCTTTCTGTATCATTTCCTTTCTGTTTAGAGAACTTCCTTTAACCATTCCTTTTAGGGTAAGTCTGCTGGCAAAAGATTCTTAGTTTTCTTTTACCTGAGAATGTCTTGATTTCCTCTTCATTCCTGAAGGGTATTTTCACTGGAGATGAGATTCAGAGTTGACAGTTCTTTCAGTGCTTGAAAAATATGCTACTTCTCATGGGTTCTGATGAAAAATCTGCTATCATTCTGTGTTTCCTTTTTTTTGTAAAGTGTCATTTTCCTCTGGTGGTTCTATCAATCATCTATTATTTAGTTTTTATAAGTTTAATGATATATCTTTACATGGATTTCTTTGGGGTTATCTTGTTTTCCGCAGATTTTTGAATCTTCAGGTTTATGTCTTGCTAAATTTGGTAAGATTACAGCCATAATTTCAAGTGTTTTTTCAGTCCCCTCTTTTCCCACTCCTTATGGGACTCTGACATAACTTACATCTTTTGTATAGTCCCACTGATTCCTGAGGTTTATTTTTTTTTGTCTGTTTTCTTTGTGTTCTTCAGATTAGGTGATTTTTATTGTTCTATCTCATAGTTCACTGATCATTTCCTCTGTCACCTCCATTCTACTGTTGGGCCTATCTACTGAGCTTTTTTTAGTTATTGTATTTTTCAGTTCTAAAATGTCCATTTAGCTCTTCTTTACATCTTGTTTCTCTGCTACGACTTTCTATATTTGCTGAGGCTATTCATTTTCTCATGTTTCAAGTGTGTTCATAATTGCTCACGGAAACATTTTTATCATGGTTGCTGTGATGGTTAGTCTTATGTGTCTACTTGACTGGATTGAGGGATGTCCAGGTAGTTAAACATTATTTCTGGGTGTGTCTATGAGCGTGTTTCCAGAAGAGATTAGCATTTGAACTGATGGACTGAGGAAAGCACATCACCCTCCCCAATGTGGGTGAGCATCATCTAATCTGTTGAGGGCCTGAATAGAAAATGCAGAAGGTTGAATTCCTTCTCTACCTGTTGGGTTGGGACATGGATTTTCTCCTGTCTTTGTCACTCCTAGATCTAGGGCCTTTATATTGGACTGGAATCTATACCACTGGCTCTCAGGCCATCAAATTACACCACTGGCTTTCCTGGGTTCCCACCTTGCATTGCAGATAGATTGTGGGACTTGTCAGCTTCCATTATCTCGTATTCTGTTTTTCTGGAGCAAACTAATACAGCTGTTTTAAAATCTTTGTTGGATAATTCTAATATCATTTTCAGCCTAGTGTTGGCATCTATTGTCTTTCTTCATTCAGTCTGATCTTTCTAGATCTTGGAGTGATGATTTTCTATTGAAATGTGGACGTTTCTGTGTTATTGAATCTGGATCTTATTTAAACCTTCTGTCAGCTGGCTTTTTGACACCTCCAGCAGAAGATTGAGGGGAGGGGCATTGCCTCATTACTGCCAAGTGGAAGTAGACATGTAGCTTCCAGTCAGCCTCCATTGACAGCCAAGAAGAGACTCCTTGTTGCTGCTTCATTGGTATGGGAGTTTCGGCTCCCTATATAATCTCTGCTGATGCTGCATTTGGGGTGGCCCCCGCACTTCAGGCAATGTTGAAAGTCCTGACTCTCCACCAGGCTTTTTTTTTTGAAGCACCCCATCAGAGAGGGGGACAGGTGCCTTATTACTGCTACTGGGGTGGAAGTCCAGGCTCCTGTGTCACCACAGGGTATTGGTAAGAGTCCTTTTCACTGTCTGGTGAGGCGTAATTCCTGTCTCCCTACTTGGCCTGTAGGAGAAATTCCTAAAGATGGAATTGTTATGGCTTAGGTTAAGTGCATCGTGGTTTTAATAAAGTACCAGATTGCTCTCTCTAGAGGTTGTACCAATTTATTTTCCCACCAGCAATGTCTTCAGTGCCCATTTCCCCATTTCTTACCAACAGTGGTATTAGCAAACTTCCATCTTTAGCAAGCTGAATCCATCTGTTTTTATCTCATTACTTCCTTTTTTTGGGTAACTTGTCTATCTTTGGTCTTTTGTCTCTTCCTCTCAGTCTAGAATATGCTCAACAGTCCCACCTAGTCTCCCGAAAATTCTTCCTTTGCCTACCTCTTGCTATGGCCCCATTTTTCACATACTGTGATAAATCTCTCCAACTCATTTTCCATTTAATAAACACATTAAACCTGCTTTATATCACTTAACTCCCTTGAAGTTGCCATTTTATTCATTTTTTGTATTATGGGACTGCTTCATTTTTAACTCCTCTCTTGGCTTCATCACTGTTTATCAGTGCGTTTTCATTCCTTTATATCGCAACACCAACAATTACTTCTTGGGCACTACCTGGACTTTTACAATAGCATTCTAGTGATTCTCCCTATGGAAAGCTTCTCCCCTCACAAATTCTTATGGCTGTGGCTCACCTGAAACACAAATTCGTTGGTGTCATCTGTACAGTAAATCTCCAAATACTTCCTACTTCCTGAAATCCAAGCTTTTGGCATGGCACGTAAAGCCCTCATCATGTCACCAACTAAGACCATTAGGCAATACTAAGGTCAGTAAGAAAGGTTTAGCAATCAAGTGCTTAAAAGAAACACACATAGTGACCTTTGAAAAAATAGGGGCACTCAGCTCAAAGAATACACAGCAACACGTGTACAGGCAACACACTAATAATAGTAAATAAAGCAAGAACAGCTGAATTGCTAACTATTCTGTCAAGTTTTCCCCAACTCTTCTAGAGTTAACTTCAACAACTGCTGACATCATGCAATGTAGTATGTAATTTTATTACACATTTTACTTTATATAACTATCATTTATATCCCCCTCTATTCTGAGTTTTTGAAAGCCAACGTAAATTTTTTCATTACAATGAAAAAAAAAAGAAATACACAACCAAAGAGAGATAGCTGTTAACTAATATTGACATTACTCTGAACTATAAATTTAAAATATATACTGCTATAAGTAATATAAAACACTAGTTGAAACTTATGTCACTAAAAGTGAAAGGTTTCACTGCCTTTTTTGGAGGGGGATGGGGAGGCTTAAACAAGACATTTATTTCTCACAGTTTTGGAGGCTAGGAAGTCCTTTCTTCATTTCTTATTAGCTCTGACCGATGGGCATACTTCTGGATCCATACAATCCTAGACAAGCCAAAGTTTTAGTGCACACATTAACAATGCATAAAATAAAATAAAAAAACCAGAATACAGCTTTTATATTATTGAACTTTATGTACAAAATCATTTGATTTCAAATAAACATTTAATGTAAAAACAAACGTTCTTTTAAACTGAATTTTTTTTACATCTACTGTACCATTCAAATGCTTTATCATCTTACATGATTTCTTCAAAATCTCTTATCAAGGGTACATATAGAAAAGCATTTTTTTTTATAAATAGAAACAAAGGGACTTTTTTCAGCTTTTATTATAAGATGACATAAAAAGTTTACTCAACAGAAGTAATTTCATTACTATTTGGGGGAGGGAATCACCAACTTTTTGTGCAAACAATGCTAGCCTTCTTTTAAGCATTAAGAGCATAACTGCTTAAGAAATGACATAAGCAATAATTCTACACCTACATCTCCCCTAAAATAATCTATTTTTTTTTTTTTTTTACATATGTGCACAGCTTTAGCAAATTAAAGCCCGAGAGAAATGCTCAAAATCCACTATCCAAGAGGCATGATCAGAGTTTACTGTAACTCATCATTTGGAGAGCTTACCAATCAAGGAGTCTGTAATGAAAGCTGCAGTTTCCCTCTTTCCTATTTTTTTAACACAAAAATCAATGACTAAAAACTTAATACTGGATGACAAATCACATCCACACTATTAGTTAAATAGCCTCACAGTTAAACACATCTTAAAGACCAATCAAATCAGTATTTACATTTTATAAATTTCTGAAGACACCATTAGAAAGCTTATATATCCCTTCATTAAACAAAATAGGGAACTGCATCTGATGGTGGTGGAATGAAATTAAAAAATTAAAAATACCTGTATTTACAGCAGCATTGATCCTTTATAAATAAAGAATATGAAAATGCAATTATCTTTAAGGATAATAAAAAATTGAGGTGATGTTACTCAACCACAGTGCTTGAAATTGGAATAAAAATCTATTGGTGCTTGTTAATGTGCCAGTAGTGAAACCACTTTCTGTTGGAGAAAATCCAACTGCAAATATGTGCATAAAAACACATATAACACAGGGCAAAATTGCTCAAAATGATTCAAGTCAGTTTATCTGTATTGGATATCGTAACTGTGAAATACATTACAAAGACATCCTTGCAAACAAAAAAGAAGTTATAACATTTTCTAGTTCATTTTTATAGAACATTTCTTCCCTTGAAAAGTGGCATCTTAAAAATCTGACTTGTTCTTCCCTTGGTTTACAATCCTAATGAAAAGATGTGGACAGCTTAATTTTCCATGTGCTTTCATAATTGGGGAGGAAAAAAAAACCCAAAACAGCAAAACGTTCAAGTTTAGAAAAATATACTGGGTGAGCAATGCACTATAATTATCCACATAAAAACAAATGGTAAGTAACCTTATAAACCAACGTGACATTTCACTGTTGAATGTGAAAAATTAACATCCTCTCAAACAGGCATAAGATGAAGAAGTGCTATTTTAAAATTGTAAAATGAACTTATACAATGCAAAATCTCTTATGTGTTGTAATTTTTCACTTCCAATTGATAAATGATTTCAAAATCAAGGATCAAGGTTTGATTGCAAATAATAATGCAACATAATTTCACAAAAATCTTCTATTTTGAAAAAAAGGGAATCACATTCCAATTTTCCCTCCCCAAGAAATTGTCTCACAATTACAAAGTAGAAAAACAGCCAGTCACAAATGCAAAAAACATTATAATATATGAAATAATTTCAAGATTAATTTAATATATTTCATAAGACAATTGTTGAAGTTAAAAATACTTTGAAGTATTGCTTTTCATGCTCAAACAAGAGAATGTTTTAATGACCAATAAAACTGACATACATGTAATGCTGCATAATGAAGAAGAACCCTGATACATATTATCCTTGTTGAAATCATTTACTTCATCTAACAGTGCCTGTTTGGAACCTATGATTAAAAAACAAATACAACACTCTTCTTAGAGGCTGAACTCCCTAGAATGCAATTTCAGTGTTTGTCCATAATAAGCGTTTAGGCCTTTTCAGAGTTTTTGTTTTTTGCTCTGTTTTGAAACCCCTGAGACACCATCTGTTTCCAAAGCTTTCTCTTTTGAGTTAATTTCACTAAATCCATTTGCTGTCCCATTTTGTTCTTCAGTGATTTCTTCATTTGCAGGGGAAGCAGATTCTCCTTTTTCTAATTTTTGCTGCATTTCACGGAGCTTGGTGACAGCTTTATCTATTGACATTATACTAATAAGATTAAAGTCATGCATGCTGACTAGATGAAGCATGAAGTTTCGACATAAATTCTTCTTAATTATTTTCTGTCCATAGTTTTCTACAAACAGCATACAGGCATGATTCATTTGATTGTCAGCAATAAACCTATTTAATAAAAACAATACAAAACATCAATAGCAATACAAAGCATTTTTGTCAAATGTAATAGTGGTAACCATTATAAAACAATAAGACTATAACCAAATCTAGTAAATGATGATTTAGCAAGTAGTAAAACTAGAGTGTGAATCTGAGATTCTATCACCTGAATCTTACCATTTAAAAAAATTGGAGATTTAATTTAACCAGAATTTAAATAGATGTCATTTGTTTTTCCTAATGAAATTACAAACGGCAGTATTAAAAGTATAAAGTATTTTCTCTTGCCAGCAGAACTTTCATTAACTCTATATACACACTACGCCCTTTATTCTCTCCCTTGCTCTTGACGTACTTTCCTAATTCAGAAGCAGTGTTTCTCGACATTTTCATTTCATGGTAAACCTCTGAAAAAAACGAAGATATCACAACAAATGTGGTACAGTATGGTTGTGTTAGCAGCAAATGAGTAGGGTGCATATACAGTGAATAAAATTTGAGAGAACCAAATTAAACCAAATAGGAGAATGGCTGCTCAGTTACCCACTAGAACAGAGTCCAGCAGAGTCCATAAGACCTGCTTGCAGGTTTTTAAAAATCGGAATAGTTTACCCAACTACCTGCCATTTTATAATGCCAAAATACAATGAACTCCAATAGTTGTGCTAACAGATTTACAATCAAGGATTTAAAATGGAACTCAATAAAGTAATTTGATTAAAATTCTATTTTGAAACTGATACATCAGGACAAAAGGAAAAACAGATTTAACCCAAGCCTTCACATACATACTTTGGAATACACTTTTAGCCACAAAGGTATGAGAAATAAGTATGGTTCTACCTTGCCCTCTCTGAAATGGTAATAAGACATCAGAAAAGCTACTTATATTTTATTCTGATTAAGCAATTTTTAAAAATTGTGGTAATAACTGTGATAAGTAATTTTGAGGATTTCCAGGAATGTAACACATGGCATATTATTTTTTATTCCCTGGCAATAAAAGGAATGAAAATTGGGTCATTAAAACAAAAAGGGACACATTAAAAATAAAAGCCTGCTGTTAGAACTAGCACCTTCCTTATACATTCTTTGAGCATCACCATTTTTCTTTATGCAATTATAATACTTTGGATTAAGATAAGATTTCAGACACATTATATCTAAATTAACGGAATTTTACAATATATGAGATTCTAACACCAGTAGATTTATAGAATTTGAAGCAGCAAAAAAGGCTATAAAGGAAATAGAATATTTAAATTCAGAAATACCCTACCCATGCTTCATGACATGGAGATTCCATAGTTTCATCACTTCTTTCTCTCCTTCATTAACATCAGAAAATTCCTCAATTTGCTAAAAAAAAAAAGAAAAAGAAAAAATACCTATCAAATGCAGAATAAATATCATTGGCATTTCTAAGAAAAAATTGTGTGAGAAAGTCAACAAAGAATTTTGTAACTAAAAATACTACAACTTTTATACAGCTAAGTGGAAACGTTTTTTAAACAACTTCTATTTAAGCAGTAATTTAAAAAGAATTCCTAAGTTATGAAAGTTACCTATAAATAAAATAGAAGAAAAAAACACTATAAAGTCACAAGAAGAAACTATTTTCTTTACTTGGTAACTATTCAAACGACAATTATAAAAATTGTGGATTCCTGAATTCCTTAATTTAGAAAAAGGTCCTTTACACTAAGTCAAAAGTTTTAATTCATATTAAACAATTGTTTTCGAACAAAAATTATTTAATCATAAAATTCTAAAATCATTGTCAATAATAGTGATGATGATAATAATAATTACTGTAATCGTTTTTTCTCTTAGCCACTCAGGATCTTTTTCATCTTCACTGTCTACTTCCATTTCTTGTGGACGGAGAGGTAAACAGGTGTCACTATGGAAATACAGACGATTGTGTCCACTGCTGTATGTTCGTTGCTGTTCCACTTCTCCATCTTCAGATTCAAGAAATTCAGACATGCTTGCTTTTGTTCGTTTTGGCCTAATGAAAAGAAAATGTTAACATAATATTATTAAGTAACAGGGATAGGGCTCTTTATATTTCACACCACCCAAATAGATCACATTCCTTTCTTAGGGGTTTCTACTAGGTGCACACAGAAACCTCCACTAGGAAGATTCTTTAATGCCCCTAACCACTGAAGCAGTAATAGCATTAACATTTAAAACACAGGAAAAAGCTGTAAGGGGGAAGTGAGAAAACCATACAGAAACAGGAGCTGGGAAGGATTATACAGCAGTATACCTCCCCAGAGGCTTAGCTAACCTGAAAATAATGATTCCCACCTAAAGAGTGACTTTTGTCTGGCTCCCCTTTGTTCCTCCAACATTAACAATAGAAGTCAGAGAAAAAACTTTTGTTGTATGACCTTTTTACCTACCTGCACACAAGAATGTGTGTGATAGGCGTTCTCTTTACTGGTCCATTGCGACTAAAAGCAAATCCAGGTTGGCGATGAATATCCTGAGGATTTCCTGCATAGGAGCCATCATAACACTCATTGATAGAAACATCTATCCTAGCACCTTTTGGATGATACTGTAACAAAAATGGCAAGGTGTTTAGGAAAAGAAAATATTAATTATTCTACCCTAAATACTTATCCCTCGTTTTTAATTAATTTAAAAAGTACTTCTGGATTCTTAATGTTTTGAAAACTAAAATAAGCCAGGCATACCAGCTTGGTGAACAGGAAGTCAGAGAACCTAAGAGTCAAAAAGACCTGTGTTAAAATCCTGGCTAAGTCATTTATTGGTTTGGTAACTTTTTACAAATTATTTGTCTGAGCAAGGATCAGGAAATTACCACTTAACTCAAAGAATTTGTGTGAGGATTATGTGAGTCAATATAGGTGCACTATGCAAATGTGTAAACTCTGAAGCATTTATTGTAATCGTGCATACAGCAATACATCAAGAAGAAATGTTGGCATTTTGTACAAAGTACAATTTTTGAAAGTCAGATTGTCTTACGTATGATATATTATTGGTAAGAAAAAAATGAAGTTACTTACAACATAATTGAAGATAAATCTGCTATGACAGAGTTTAAGATGCTTGAGTAAACTATAAAGTTTGCGGCAGTTCAGAGTGCACCAAGGGCAATGTAGGTCATCTCTTGCTTCAGTTTGTTGTCTTGTATTGTTGTTATAAAGGAACTTTAAAACAAACAAACAAAAAAGCAAATCTCCAACTTACACATCTCAAAATATTTTTTCAATATCACCTTTAAAAAGTTAAAACAATTTAAAAGAAAAATCAAATTAGAGACATTTCTTTTATATAATGTCCAAAATATTTCAGATGTAACATGCAAAACAAAGGCATTTCACAATTACTTAAAAAAGGGTCAGCTATGTTTACCTGATAAAATATTCTTAATTTTTGTCGGTTTTCATTGGTAGTATCTTTTTCTTTTCTTGTTTGTAGATCTGTAGTCAATGATTCTTTAACAGCTGAAAAATACATACTTTTATATTTAATACAAATTGCTTCTAAATAGTAAGATAATATATCTTGTGATAATAAACATTAAAACTTTTACAGACTTCTGTGTATTTAACAATTTTTGTTCTCACTCTCAAGGTAATAATCACCTTAATCAGCACCCCAATCACGAGATAGTAAGATCTTTATTGGCAGGAGCCACACTTTTTCTTTAAAAAAACCACCTCTATGTCTAAATCATTATAAAAGTAACCCCAAGTAAATATATGTAATCACTGTAATGTTTTAAGCACTTTGAGATCATAGTATGGTTTTGATTGGTCTTTATATTCCCAGCTCAAAGCAGCGAGCAGATGTCCACTAAATGTTGGTTTAACAGATATTAAATAAAAAATTATTATATTAATATCATTCCAAACCCAAAAGATAATCACCATTTAAATAATTTTGATGTATTTCTTTAGACTTAAAATTTTTTATTTTCCCTAAGTATTTCATATATGTGCACTTTCATATAAAGCTTTTTTCTCAGTTTCTTTGAAATTCTTTTACCTATTTGACTGGCTGCAGAGTATTTTGAGATGTGCTTAGACTACAATTTACTTAGGAAATCTTTTTTCTGACACAGGCCATTTTTGCTATCTTTTTAATCTGGCACTTATTATGACTTCCACACACAATAAATGGACATGAGAGGTCAATGTCAATGACAGCTATCTTAAACCTTCTGCCTTCTTTAAACGGACTTAGATAAAAACACATGGATACTCTCGGATCAAAAATAGTGTTCCTCTTAGGCAGATACAAAAGGACAGACCACTGCAACCGGGACCTTAACTCAGGAGCGCTAACTCCATTTGTAAATGTTTTTCCTCTTAAATTACTGCAATATTTAATGTGGTAAAATTCAGGTTATGAGCCCCTTCCAGTCCTAAAATTATAAAAATGCTCTGAAATACTGATTTTAGTTCTACAACACATAAACACATACAAAGTTTTACATGAATTATAAAAAGCATACAATCCCAAAGCCCTAAAAAACTGCAATTTCAAAATCTAAAAAGTTCTAAAAACCAATCATTTTTTCATGAGTTTGAGGCAAATTTTTTTAGTGGAAAAACTTGTCCTGAATTGACATAAAGTTATGTATAGACCTCATCTGGAGGTCATACATGACAAATATACTATATCATGCTTCTAAAAAAAAAAATTCCTAGACACATTTAACACAAAGATTTTGGATAAAAGACTGTTGATCTGTACTTTAACACAAAAGTTTACATTTACTATAGAAGAAACCTAACTTACCATGGCTCATAATTTGTCTCATAAGTCAAATAATACTTCCCAAAGAATAATTATTGGCGCAAAAGAAAACAAGTTAATCTACCCTAAGTCCTAACTCTGCAAAGCATTATTTTGACAGCAATGTTTTCCTACCAATAGTTTGAGTAGGTTTAACTGAACCAGGCTTGTTTTCTTGATGGAGACTCTCTGAATTTCTAGTGGCAAGAGGCTTGGCAATAGGAGCTGTAGATTTATCATTGGTCTCTCCTGTCCAACGAAGAGTGAATTGCAACGTAGGTCCCTGAGAAAATGTTTCAAATGGAGGCAGCCTCTAAAAAAGAAAAAAAAAAATGACGAGTGAGACTCCACATAATGCGAAGAATTTGTAGAAATAAAAAAATATTTATTATAAGTTAATGTGGATTTGATTTAAATAAATTTTCCTTGAAAACCCAAAAAGCCTACAGAGATTGGCAAGTGAATGTATGGCACAGTACAGACTGCAGTACTGGAGAGCTCAGGTTGTCTAAACAAGGCAGCAACTTATCAGTAATAGCTGAATTGTTGCTACGTGCAAACATAAGCCCTGCACAGATTTTCAGATTTTTCAAAAGAAGTCAGGAATTCAAGTTCTGATGGGAAAACTTGCCTTTTTTATATGTTGGTAACCAATTTAAAATGTCTGTAAAAACAAACAAAAAAAATGTAGTACCCAAAGCCTCCCAGTCTGCAAATGCTTAGATGACCAACTAATTTTTTTTTTCCTAAATTGAACTATTACAGCAATTAGTAAATTTTTCTTGACTTCTCTTAGCTTCACTGATGACTACCCTTGCTTTTCTTCTCTGGGTTTTGGAACACTGAACATTTTGGCTTTCCTCCTCCACCTCTAATCACTTATAAGACTACTTCCTCTTCTCTTGGTCTCAATTTAGCCATATGTCCCTCTCTCTTGCCCATCCTCAAGGATTTACCTATCACTAGGCTGATGATCCCAAATGGATTCTTCATTCTTTATACTTGAGCTTTAAACCCATGTATCTCCAACCACCTCTGGGACATTGTCCCTTAGATGGTATCAATATCACCTTGGACTAAAATGTTTAGATGTGAATTTCTTATCTTTTCTTTCTTTCCCAGGTACAATTATTTTTGTTCCTAGCCATTATCAATCTACTAGTGACCCGAAGCTAAGAATTTTAGAATTACATTTGACCCCTATTTTTCCCTTGTTTCTCTTATACAATCACCAAGTATAGATCCTTACTACCTTATTACTGCAGTTCTCAGCTACTCGCCCTGCTTCTAGTTTTTACTTTTTAATCCATGAGACCAAATCATCTTCTCAAAGACTACTTTCATGCTATTCCCTTTCATAGAAACTTTCAGTGGGCTCCTATTTATTTTACTGCTATACAAGCCTAAACTCCTTCTACATCTTTATTACATATAATCCTCTTAAAACTCTAATTTTAGACTGGAGTGAGGTAAAATTATGATCATATAAACTGGTTTTGACACAGTAAGTCCATATCTAGGAAGTTCTCTTATAAAAATATTTGCAATGCACAAAGATACATGTACAAGTATATTCACCACATTTTTGAAAATGTAAAAAACTTAAAATAACGGAATTATCTATCCAAACAGCATTGGTTTACTAAATTATGGGACACATATTTAAAAGAACCATCACAGGGCTTTAAAAAAGAAGCAAATCTATATTATCTGACTTAAAAGGATGTCCATTTCACATTGTCTTGAACAATTTCTTGGGAAAAACCAACAACTCACATATATATAAAATCTTTATTTTCTCATGGATAAACCTAACAAACTTTGAGTAACACATTAAAACATAAAGATAATAAATATCTGCAAAAAATTCAAGTACTGTAGGTAAGTATAATGAAATGAAATCACCTCTAAGTAACCACTATTATCATTTATTTTAGAAAAAGTGGTAGTATATGTATTATTATGTAAAAATTAAGTATCATGGAAATGTTCCTGTGAAAGTATTTTCCTTTTTAATGGCTTTTTTAGATTTAAAATGTTTCAAATTTTTCACCATTTAAAAATGCTTGACAAGACCTGTTACCTATATCTTTTCAGTTATCAGTTACTACCCTTGTGACAAAACTGTAGAAATATAATTGTTAATGACATATACACAATTTAAATTTATAGCCATATAGCCAGTGTGCCTTCTGGTAAAGTTGTACCAACTTTTTTTTTTTTTAAAGATTTTATTGGGGAATTGGGGAAGGGAAACAGACAAGTTGCTGTCCTTTTGTTCTTCAGTCTAGTTGTGGAGGACATTGCTTCACTGGCCCACGTTGGTATTATCACTGCGCTCTTCCTGGATGAGGCAGTCGCTCGCTGGCCATTGGACGGCCGCTCACAGCAGCTCAAGGCAGCTCGCTAAAGCTCACACCCGCTGCCAGCCAGCCCCACTGCAGCCTACACCATCGCCAGCAACTCACAGCAGCCCAGCTCCAGGTTGAGCTGTTGCTCACAATCTTACCTGTAGAGGGTGCAGCATCACTGACCCTCATGTGGGACCCAAAACGGGGCCCTGTTGCTGAGATCTGGCGTCCCAAGCCAACTCCTAACCAATGCGCCACTCGGCCAGCCCACCAACTTATTCTTATATTAAAGCATTTGAGAGTAATCGTGTGTGTCCTCACATATCCATCTACAAACTATCAATCATTTTAATTGTTGTCAAACTATTAATCAAAACTATTATCTCTGATTTTGTTTTCATGTCTTTGAATCCTAATAAGGTTGAATATATTCTTAAAAGCTTGCTGGCCATCTATATTTGTTGCTTTAAGAACTGCCCAATTGGCTGCAGCCCCTGCTGCAGTGGGCTGCCATGGGCTACCATGTGTAGCCGGCAGCCAACGTGAGTGGCCAACAGCCGCGGTGCACGGCCGTCCAGAGGCAGGCGACTGATCTGCCTCGCCCGGGAAGAGCGCAATGATGGTGCCAGCTTGGGCCAGTGAAGCAACGTCCTCCACAACTAGACTGAAGAACAAAAGGA